CCCAAAAATGCCTGTTAAGTTTTCCTTTACTAGGTGTCTCAGATTTATCCTCCCTTCATTTTTATTCATACTTCATTCTAGGACTATTGCAAATGCCTCTCAATCTTTCTTCCCTAATAATTCATCTTGTTCACTCCTTCCTAAATCACAGCTTTCATATTATCCCTCTTTAGCTAACCTCCCAGCCCTCATAATCAATGCATCATACACTGTCTATATGATAAACTCCAAATTTCTTGGTTTGGCATTCAGATCTTTGGCAGAAAACTATCTTTCCAGCTCCCCCAACCTTTATCTTCCCCCACAACAACTGAGACATGGCTGTGGGCAACCTAGACAAGCACTGCTTATTCCCATTTCTTCACTCTTCACACCACCCACCTTTTCTTGATATTCACTAACTGTCAAGAAATCACCTTTGAATTCTAGCTCCTATTCAATGCCATCCCTTAAAAATTCAGCCTGAAATGGTCATTCCTCTGCATTTCTATTTTATTTACAGTCTATGCCACTCACACAATTAAGTACCAGCCTCTTCTGAGTGACCTGTCTGGTGTTATGCACATGCCTGTCTTTCCAACTGGACTACTGGCTGGTGCAGGAGGACCTGTATATTAGACACTTGTGTTTACTCCTCTGCAACAAAATAGCATTAAGCTCAACAGACACACTTATTAAATACAGAATGACCTACTAATCCTCAAATAAAGTATATGACCTAAACAAGTCATGTATTAACAAAATGTTTTCAGTCATGACCCTGATAATGGAAGGAAGTTTATTTTAAAGTATAAACTGCCAGAAAAGGGAATATACATATTAAAATATAGTTGAACATATAATTATTAAAGTGACTGATAATCCCCTGCAATGGAGGAGTGGCATGGGAGAGGTGACAGTCTTGAGCCACTGCTCATTTTACAGCCCTGCAATGACCCTGGTCTAGTCTATCAAGGATTCTGAAGATTAGCATTCACTAGTTCCTAGTGGATATACAAATATTAAAAAGTAATATTAATTATTCGCACTTTCTCTCTCTTCTGCAAATGATCTGGAATGGCTGAGAAATAACTATAAGTGAAAAGACTCAAAGAAAAAAGAAGATAAAAGTAGTTATGGTTCAAGAAGATAGAATAGAAAAAGAAAATGAGATCATATAAGTACTTTCCCAAAACTCCTGGAGCGTAAAACAGGAACACTTCATTTGTTCGATCATCATTTATCATGAAAACATCATTTATCATGAAAACACTTCCAAGAAGAGAACAATACACCACAGGAGAATCATCTCTGCTTCAATACCTATCTAACAGGCACCCAGTGGCCACCCCACTGCAGATGCATGACCCATGCTTCCCATTCACTCGCCCCCAGAATGGAGAAGTGTACTTTTGCAATGGAACCTGTGAAGTAACTTTTTGGCACAAGATACTAAACGGGAACATCTGACTCCAAACTCACTTTTCAGATTAACACTCAAACAAAATGGACAAGGGCACTGGCTAATACACAGGGAATAAAAGAATATCCTCTCTTGAAGCCATAAAAAGCCACCAAGCTGGTTAATACATCCAATCGTTAAAACTAAAATTCTGATAAAGATGAATGACTGTGAGCTCTTAAACCAAGCCCAGTAAATTTTCATTTGCCCCGCACCGTAGTTCATGTAAGCTGGAAGGCAGGGCCAAGTCTAGCTATCTTTCTATCCTTCACATACATATAGTAAAGGGTTAAAAAAAAATGAATTCAATGAATTAACTGGTCTAGTGAAAGCTAGATAACACAGACTATCCATATTTATATTTACTGGTCTTTGAAATAAATGATAATAATTTGATTACAGTCACCCTGACCTCCTAATTGCTAGGAAAGGTCTTAGGCACTTGGATTACAATGACAAATCAGACTTGGCCTCCTAGCAGTCAATGAAAAGTTAAACAAAAGACACACAGGAGCAGGTGGCTTTTTATTTTAGAAAGACCCCCACTGACAGTACTGTGGGATACTGAGTTGGAGGGATTCAAGGAAGAACTTGGGAGACCACACAGGAGTCTACAGCAAAAGGCCAGATAGAAACTTGATGAGAGCTCAGAATAAAGCAGTATTAAAGAAAACTTCAAATATCACAGTACAGATCCTATTCTTCACAATTCTGGGTGCCATCAAAGCAACATGTATGTAAGATTTTACCTAATACAGGGGTCCTGACAACATTATACTTCGTAGGTTTTCTTAAAACAACAAAATGGACTTGCATTTTGGGAGCACTCACTGACAGATAAGTCTGTCCTTCGATCACTATATCCCCAATTCTGGACACAGAACACAGTGATCTCTCAATTAGTACGTACTTGTGGGATGAAACAACTGAGGATTTGGGAAGGGTGCAAAGAAACACGACTGGCCATAGGCAGGTTAAGTGTGAAGGGACCACTTACCACGTCAAGGAACAGTCTCTTTGCCAAAATGCGTGTGTCAGAACCTTAGGAAGGGGGTTGAGGTGCATAATGGAATCCATTTCTCTCCAGAATCTAGTAAACTAGACTAGCTTTTTAATAAATCAACCGGAAGGAAAGACAGATGCAAACCACCTAGCTAAGTGACATCTGCAGCCAAAAGAAAATGAGTGCACTTCCCCTTTATTCCCAGTAAACGTGGAAATCCAGAAACCATGATTACCCTGTCCCTAGCACCAAGTACTTAATGACACCTCTGGAAAGTCACCCGCTACCTTGTGGAGAGGCAGCGTTTCCGCCCAGAGCTCGGTCCCTGGCCACACAGCACCACTGGAGAGTGCGTTCCCACCCGAACACCGCGGAGGGCTGACCCAGCCAGACACGACCCCAGTGCGCGCCCGGCTCCCAAACTTCCGCCCAGGACGCGGTAAATGCAGGCAGAACGGCATTCCTTCCCGACCCCAAGACGGGTGAGGCTGGCCACCCGGTTCCTGCGGACCCCGTGTGGCGGCGGCAGGCGCCCCAAGGTCACCGCCCTTTGCACAACCCCAGCCCGGGCCGTCCAGCGCGCGCGCGTCTCGTGACTCCTGCGCGCAGCAGCCTTCGGCCCTCGGGGCTAGCCCCTCGGCGCCGCGGGTAAGGGAAACTGCCCTGTATAACGGGAGAGGTGGGAACCCGGGACGCCGTAGCTCGTGGGGCTGCGTGAGGGAAGGGGTCGCACTGAGAAGGCCACCTCTGCCCCAACAGACCCGGGAGCGGCTGAAGTTTGTCCCCACCCACCCGCTGCCCCACGCCCACGCAGGGGCACCTGCTTTCGCCACCTCCGTGGTCAGGGTCAGGGTTTCCCCGCGGTGGCCACACCTGAGGAAGGGGGCGGGGCTCCCCAAACACACCTAGGGCCCCGCTCCGCCAGCCACCCCGCGGGCTCGGCCCTCTCCTCAGGAACCCCGACGTGTCAGGGAAGGAGAGGTTCTTACCTCCGGGAGACTTTGGCCCTCCGGCCCCTTGGGCAACCCCATGATCCGACCGGGCTAGCGTGCGGCGGCAGCAAAGCCCGCGAAGCGTCCGGAGGAAGCTGTCCCCACGGCCAAGCTGCTACCGGGGTGGAGTGCAAAGCGGAAACTTCCTCTGCCGCCGCCGCAGCCGCCGGCTGGGAGCGCTACGGCCCGGAGGAGCATGCGCGCTGGGGCGGGAGCGCGGCGCGACTGCGCCTGCGCGAGGGCTGGCCGGGAAGAGGCTGGGCCCACCGTGGCAGAGAGTGCTCGGTCTGTAGGGTTCGGTTTAGGGCTCTGAATTGTTCTCCAAGGCGCTTCATGGAAGGGCTTATTCCTGCATCTTGGGGACATTTTGCATTCCTCCTCCTTTCTCTGCCTCTCACAGGCATCGGATTCTCCAAGTGGGCCTGGTCCTGTGCGTGAGATGCACTTCGGAAGCCCCCTCGCTCCGGGGTAGGAGTCGTAGGAGTCCGAGCACAGATTAGCTTCGGGATTCCTAATCCAGGCTGGGTTCTAGCCTTTGTTAACGCACACTTGGGCAAACTACTCCATATACGAGCCGGGAACGGAGCCCCAGAGCACGGAGTCTTCACGCCCACTGCCCTCCTCAGCGTCCTAGCCAGTGGCATCTGGCATCGTGTTCCCAGGAAACCTCGCTTGGGATAATGTCCCCCACCACACCACACCCCATCCATGGTTTCTGAATCTTTCTGGAGGAAGGACATCTCCGAGAATGCGGACTCCTGTGCTCATGTCATTTGAGCTGCCACAGCACTTACATGATGTACCCCTTGTCTGTCCCAGAGGATGGCTATATAAAGGGGTCCCCGTCACTTACTTCATATGGCTTCCCAGCTCTCTTAGTTTTAAGCAATGCAGAAAGAGATGACTTATGTGAAAACTTTTGCTCTAGAAAAGATCCCTCTATATGTATGTGGGGTGGAGGAATGTGAGACTTTTATTACAGCTCCTTGAGATCAAAGAGCTTTTGTATTTGCTTTTTTCCCCTTCTTTGCACCCCTAGCATCTTAAAAAGTAAGTACGCGGTTAACGTTCATCCTTGAAGAATTTTTTTGCACCTTTTATACTACTGGAGTTGATTTTGACAAAACAGGTTTGTGTGGAACCAGAACACACAAGTGGTTGGAAGGGCCCTAAGAATGCCATTTTGTTCTTAAATGTAGCTAGCAAATATTATACAAAACTATGTGCCACTCCCTACCCCTGGTCCCCAATAATTTGAGTAATCTGAATATTCAGGTTAAGGTGTTGAGATGGAAACCCTGCTGTTTGTGTTGTATTATCTTGCTCTTACCCATTGTGAAGCCAATGAAATTCAATTTCTAAGGTACCCACTCCCATAACTTCCCAAATGTGTTATTTTTGTAGCCTTAAAACTGTCTTTCACTGAAATGGCATGGGTTGAGGGGTCATGGAAGATGATAATCATTTGTGGTCACTATTTGATGACCGGACAGGTACTGCTGCCTAGGGACAGGTAACAAAATCTAACATAGCAGGCAAGCCGTATATAAAGCAGTTGGGGACTTGGGCCTGGAGAATAATGGATCTCAGACAGGCCATGAGTCCCCTGTTGTAAATGCTCTTGCAATATTTTAAATAAACATGAGCAACTAATTTTCCCAGTAAGAAACTCGGCTATTTTACTGTCTATGTAGGGTGACAATAGCAGAGTTGCGTAGCATACTTTTTTATTTTTTAAGGATCTCAGCAAAACAGCCATGGCAGCAGTCAAGAAAGTCTGAACAGCCCATATTTGAAAGGGGAATCCCTGCACAGCCTAAGAGTAGACCTTTAGCAGACAGTGTCAGGGAAGAAAGATTGTGAGGAATGTCTGGTGCATTTCTCTCCCTTTTCCCTGGCTCCAGGTACCCCCATATATTGTCTCCTTAGTAGGATATTTGGGGATTAGGAATTAGTCATTCTGTCTCTCATATGCACATTCATTACAGCACTATCTGATACTATAGTTGCAAGAGTCTTTGGAGCCTCACAAATACTTTCCAATTCCTGGGTAAAGGGGTACTGTAGTAAAGAGCTTCCTATTAGGCTGAACTTTATCCTGGATGAAGTTTTCTATAAAGCCTGAATCACTCTGTCTCCAGGCTTCTCCCAGTCCTTCTACTCTGGACTCTTGCTATGACCAAGAAGAGGAATAGTGAAATCCTAAAGCAGGAAGGAACTTTAGAAGACATCCAGTGCAACAATGGGTATTCAGAAAAGAAGAGTGACACAGCTTAGGTCACATAACACATCAGAGGCAGTGCTGGGACCAGAGCCCAAAATTTCTAATTCACAGTGTCCTTTTATTATCCAGCCATCCAGCCATCCATTCAACAAATATTACTGAGTTCCTTGTATGTCATTGGCTCTTAATCTTGGCTACACATTGGAATCACCTGTATTCCACCCTCAGCAATTTTAATTGGGCTGGGAGATGCGTGAACACTGGATTTTTTTTTTTTTTGCCTTGGAATATATTGTTATATACAACACAGTAGTGAATGGTGACTTCATTATGAGTTTGTTTCTGTATAGATCATGGCGGGATACAAAATTCAAAATCCATAAACAAACTAAGAGTCCCTAGGTTAAATGTGTTCTTCCTGAAAATTCTTAATGATATGCTGCTCTATTCTCAAGCAGTAGAATTGTACAGTGCACTGTCTTGTGTTTAGCATGTCATATTTCTATAGTAAAAAATGGAGACACAGGTAATGGGAACAAAGTTAAACCCCCTCTACTTCTGTACTGAAGGTAAAACAATCCAGCATGTACACACACACACGGATGAATTCTTTCAGTACATTTTTCCAAACAAATGATAATTCCATTAAAGAATTCCAATAACTTCTGTATTTTTCACAACCACACTTTATTAGCTACATTATAAAGGATTTGCCAAGGATCCAACCACACAGCAGTAAATAAACATGCTTGAGACTATCTGCTACATTCTCTATCTCCTGGAAAAAATGATATTTAACCTTTTTTGGTAAAGTGATTTAATAATTAAACATTTCTTATTTGGGAGGGGGGAACATGGGGATTGTTAAACCTTCACAGGTGATTCCAATGAGCAGCCAATTTGAGAAGAGTTTCTCTGTGCCAGAAACTGCTCCTGGTGCTGGAGATAACTGCGGTCAACAAACCAGACAAGATAATTACTGAAATTAAATGTGTAAAGATAATATCTGGTAGAAATAAATGCGATTAAGGAAAAAAGTATAATGTAATAGAGAATAGCTGGAGTCAAACTCTTTCAGACAAAGGTGCCCTATCTATTAGATAGTGTTCTCCAGTGCCATTGGAGGGGAGACATAAATCCCAAGAAGGCGCCATGGGAAGACCTCAGGGACAAGCGTTGCTGGCAGAAGTAGCATCCACGGTGTTCTGCACAGCCCCCCCTTACCCCTCCAGACCCGCTCTCAGCCCTTTGTTCTTGCTTGCTGCTATTCAAGGCTGTCCAGTAAGGGCTTCATCAGCAGGGCCTGGGGTGTGAGGATCCAGGGTGTGGGTCCGAGATGAGGAGGTGTCTGGATATGAGTCCTGGGGTTTGGGGATCTGAGTTGTGGGGCCTAAGGAATAGGATTTCAATAATAATTTGGCAAAATATGTCAAGAACTTTAAAAATATCCTTGGATATGATACTTTCACTTTTAGGGCTTATGAACAAAGACCTTCATCATAATTGTTACTACTGAGAGAAAAACCTGTAAGCCATGTAAATAGCCCATAATGAGGGACTAATTAAGTACATTGTAGCATGTCCATTTGGTACAACATCATGTTGCCAGTAAAAATGTGCACTTCAGTAGGCCATGAAAGAAAACGGTGAAAGATGAGGCTATATCAACATTAAAAATGTCTGTCTGTCAAAAAAATCATCAAAACACTTCAAAGGCAAACTGGAAAAATGTTCATTACCTATAACAAGAATTCTTATTATGAGGAAGGAAAAATTCTTATAAGTGACGAAGGAAAATTTAAAAGAAAAATGAGCACAAGACTTGACTAGAAATTTCCTAAAAGAAATTGTTACTAAACATATTTAAAAATATTTTCAGCCCCATTTTAAAAAGTTAAAGTGAGGTATTATTATAAGGACATTAAACAAATGCCAGTAGCACTCCCTAGTCATTAAGTTTTTACAACAGTTCTGGAGGGCAATTTGGCAAAGTTAATTTTTCACCAAATACCCATTCAGTACCGTCTATGCAAGTAGGGTTCTCAGTGGAGGTGGGAGGAGTGACTCAGCAACAAGGAGCATTTGGAGTTTTCACAGTGACTTGACTGGGAGGTTGTCTTAGTCCCTTCAGGCTGCTGTAACAGAATACTATAAAATGAGTGAGTTTTGAACTACAGAAATTTATTTTTCACAGTTCTAGAGGCTGAGAAGTCCAAGTTCAAGGCACTGGCAGATTTAGTGCTTGGTAATCTCACTTAGTGGAAGGGGTGAGCACCCTCTCTCAGGCCTCTTTTGTAAGAGCATTAATCCCATTCATGAGGATAGAGCCCTGATCACCTCCCAAAGATTCCACCTCTTAATATCATCCCTTGGGAGTTAGGATTTCAACATACGGAGTTTGAGGTGACCCAAACATTCAGACCATAGCAGAGGTATTACCAACATTTAGCACCCAGCTGTTATACATGTCAAACTTCCCGCATTGACGTTGGGTTATAAGAATTTCTTTGACCAGAGGGACATGGGCAGATAAGAGACTGTGCCAGTTCTGGGTGAGGTTTTAAGAGCAATTTTGTGTTCTCTTACTCTCTTATGCTCCTGACATCCACTAGGAGAACATACACAAGTGGCCACTGCTGCCTCCACCAGGCCCCTTGAATGAGAACCAGCAGTAAGAGAGTAGAGCAGACCTTAGCCCCAAGCCCAGCCAAGCCCCAGACCTGGGAATGGGATATCAGTGTTTGTCATGAGCACTGAGATTTGCAGGTTGTTTGTTAAGCATCATTATCATGCATAACCTAATATACTTCACAAAGAAGAACTGTCCTCCCCACCAATGTCATAAGCATGCCCAAACCTCTGCTTGAGACGCACTGGATACAGAAAAGGAACAAAATGGAGCTGTGGGATGAATATGCATAGTCAGCAAATCATCACATCACAAATGTCACTATGGTATGTTGAAATAAGTG